AGATTTTATATAAGTGTAGTCTGTAAAATGTATATATGAATGAATTCCTCTTCATATATATGTATACATAAAGTGAGGGAGGGAAATAGGATTTCTAGAAGAAAATGGGAGATTCGTATGAGGGAGGGAAATAGGAGAGGATCACTGTGGTAGCTACCAAAGGATCAAAAAAAATCAATCGCCCCTAGCCGCTATGCATGCTTATATTGTTCAAAATTCATCTTGTTGGAGCTTTTCTTTAAACATAGCCGCTCTACAACTTTTGGGTAGTATTACTTTTGTCTAATGTTGCCTAAAGATTACACTAAGTATTATATATACAGTATGATACTTTTTTGAATTCATTATACTACCATGTTGTCTTTGGACAATATAGGCATTAACATTAATTAATTTCTCTGCCTAATTAGTTATTAGCAATTTCTTAAGTATGTATATCCATTTTTAGTGGAGATATTTAATTCAAATGTCGAATGGAGCTTGCATCTTTATATATTAGGGTAAGGGGACAAAATGTTGGTTGGTAGAGCAAATTATAAAGCTTATTACGTTACATAAAGAAGAGAATTAAATGCAGTACAATAGAACTAAAGGACTATGGTAGTAGAAGGGGCACGCTTTTGAGCCAATTATGTCACATGCCTGAGTTATTTGCCTCTATGTATTGGTGTCCCAAGTTATTTGCTTGGACAAGAGGCTTGTTCAGGTTGAACATGAGGAAGCAGCTGAAGGATGGAAAGCAACGTTATTAGAGTGTTTTGTAACGTGATCAATTAATCTACAAACAACAGCATGCCAATTTTTTTTTTTGCACAGCAAATTTGATTCATTGATTAGAGTACAAGGGGTACTCCTGCCCATACTACAAAAATAGGTGATATAGTGAGCATCTACTGACTCCGTCTACATGCCAACAAGAGTCATTATTTGCTCAACAAAACCTGAAGAAAACAGTGGGATATTCTAACAATTCCTGCTTAACTTAAGCTAAACTATCCACGCAATGGGCAAACTCTATTTCCTACCCCTGTTAACTTTAAGACATGACTTAGGATCAAATAGCCAATCAGAGAGAGTAAATAAGCATCTTGATTTCCTTGATTTAATCCACAAAAAAGATTTCAATTGAATTTGATCGAACAGCTTACTTATATTGACGTCGGAATCTCGAAATACCTTCTGGTTTCTTGCGAGCCATACCGACCACACCACAACGTTCCAAATACAGTCCAAGCCTTCCTTCACACATGCTTCCTTCGCCTGTTCCCCAAACTGCTCAAAAGAATTCCAGCAATTATTTTCCAAATTAACTGAAATCCCCCACCATTTCCCACAAGCCTTCCATAGCCACTTTGCTACCCTACACTTCAAGAAGAGGTGACTAGAGTCCTCGATCTCCCCCTCACATAGAGCACATTTCCCATCACCCAATCCACTTATGATCCCTCTTTTCTGCAGGTTGCTCTTTGTTGGTATTCTATCCTGCATTAGTAGCCAATTAAAAGCAGAAATTTTGCTTGGAATGATAGGATTCCAAACTCTCTTGTATATTGAGGTTGTCTCCCGTCCATTTTGATCATTTGCTAGATGTCTATAGGCAGTTTTTGTTGAGTAGTTGCCATCCTTGCTATGTTCCCACTTCCATGTGTCGGGAATGTCCCTGCGTATCCGCTTGCCTTCAATCTTTTTTTGCAGTTCTTCAGCTTCCTCTCTTTCCCAGTTAAATAAGTCTCTCCTCCAGCCTAGGTACCACTTCCATGAACCATTTTCCTCCTCACCCATTTGATAGCATTCTTTCTCCTTTCCTGTAGACAAAGAGTACAATCTCGGAAAAAGATTAGCTAGACATCCCTCCCCACCCCAATCGTCCCACCAAAAACTCACTTCCTTTCCTTCTCCTAGATTTAACTTAAACCCATCTATTAACCACCCTTCATTTTCCTCATCCACATTGTTTAGGCAGCAAACATCCCTCCACCATAGTGATCCTATTCCCCTTCCTTCCCTTACCCAATCAAGCCAATGGCCTCCTCTCTTGCCGTACTTACTAGCTATAACCTTATCCCACAAGCCTTGATCTTTCCTTGCTAGCCGACCCCACCATTTCCCCATTAAGGCCAGATTGAATTTCCTCAACTCTCTCACTCCTAATCCCCCATATTGTTTATTCTTACAAACCTTTTCCCATTTGACCCAATTGATTTTCCTACCCTCTCCCTCCCCTCCCCATAAAAAGTTTTTGCGAATTTTATCAATGAAATGAATAATACCTTTAGGAAGTAGGTAGACTGACATTAAGAACACGGGCAAGCTAGACAACACGGAATTAATGAGTGTGATGCGTCCCCCGAAGGATAGATGACGGCCTTTCCACGGAGCTAATTTCTTTTTCACAGATTCCACCAGTGGTTTCCACATTGCTATTCTTCTTTGATTCCCCCCAATGGGGATCCCCAGATATTTAACCGGAAGATCTTTCCCTTTACAGCAAAGCCTGTAAGCCATTTTTTCTTTCCAGCCTTCTTCCACATTAACACCCATAAGATGACTCTTTGTATAGTTGATTTTCAATCCTGATACCATCTCAAAAGTTCTCACTATACATTTTATTGCCCAAATATTTTCTTCAGTAGCCTCTCCGAAGAACATAGTGTCATCTGCAAACTGAAGGTGTGAAACCATGAGGTCTCCATTGCCCACCTTTACACCCTTATACATCTTCTTTTCAATCGCAGCTGCCATCATCCCATTCAACCCCTCAGCTACAATTAGGAAAAGAAATGGGGATAATGGGTCTCCCTGACGAATTCCTTTAGTGACCGAGAATTGTCTCGTTGGGCTTCCGTTGATAATGACTGATACTGAGCTCGATCGGAGACATTCCTGTATCCATCCTCTCCAAATTCCACAAAAGCCCATTCTTGTCAACATATAATCTATGAATCCCCAGCATACCTTATCGTACGCTTTCTCAAAATCCACTTTAAAGATGAAGGATTTCTTCTTGTTCCTCTTGGCCTCATCAATCACTTCATTTGCAATCACTACCCCTTCTGCTAGCTGTCGACCTCTAATGAAAGCCATCTGCTGTTCCCCTATCACCTTCCGCAGTCGGTTTGCAAGCAGCTTTGCTAGGATCTTGTACATGACGCCAATGAGAGAGATGGGTCTGTATTCTTCAATTTTTTGGGGATTTTCTACTTTGGGAATCAAGACGATGAATGAGGCATTTGATCCTTTAACTATTTTGCCATGCTTTTGAAACTCCTGCACAAATCCGACAACATCTGCTTTAATATCTTCCCACATGGCCTTCACAAATCTGAAGTTGAAACCATCAGGGCCCGGAGACTTTGAATCTTCACATTCCCATACTGTTTCCTTGATTTCTTTTTCGGAGAAAGCTGCTGTAAGGGTATCATTGTCTACTTCTGATATTTTATTGAACCCGATGCCATCTAGCTTTGGTCTTTCCCATTTCTCTTCAGTAAATAACTCCTCAAAATATCTGGCCACCTCATCCTTTATTTTTGCCACCCCTGTATGCTGTTCACCATTGATGTGAATACAAAGGATTTCGTTTCTTCTATATCGTCCTTGTGCACATCTATGGAAAAACTTTGTGTTGGCGTCTCCTTCTTTTAGCCACATTTTTCTTGATTTTTGTTGCCACATGCTTTCCTTGATTTTTAAGTTCTTCCACAAATCTAGAAAACAACTTTTCCTTTGATCGATGTCTTGCGTTGAGAGTTGACCCTTCTCTCCTTTTTCATCAGTCGTGGCTATCTCCTTTTCAGCTTCCTTTATCTTTCTATCCACCTCTGAGATGGAGTTTCTACTCCACTCCTTTAGCTGATTCTTGGTTCTTTTTAGCTTCTCCTTTAATTTGAACCCATACCATCCCTTAACCTTGGTAGACTTCCACACTTCTCTGATGATCTCCTTGCACCTTGGTTGATCAAGCCAAGCATCAAAGAATTTGAATGGTTTTGGGCCCCAATCCATCTTCTCTGTTTTCAACAAAATAGGGCAGTGATCTGATACTGATCTGTTTAGTCCCCATTGTTTCACATCACTCCACTTCAAGATCCACTCCTCTGTCAACAAAAATCTATCTATTCTGCTCATATATTGCCCATTGGAGTTATACCAAGTGTATTTTCTTCCCATCAAAGGTAGATCAATCAGTCCTGTATTCTGGATAAAATCGTCGAAATCCCTCATTTCTCTTGTTAATTCTCTACACCCTGCTCTTTCTTCTTCTTTTCTCACTGCATTGAAATCCCCTGCTAAACACCACTTACCCCCCCTGCTAGTAATAAGCCCCTGTAATTCCTCCCATAATGCTCTTTTCCCCGGCAACTGGCATGGAGAATAAATGTTGATTATGTAAACCAGTGAGTCCTCCTCTCCCCATAACCCACTTACGCCCAGAAAATTTTCCCCCTCTATCACATCTATCTTCCTGAACACCTTTGAATTCCAGATACTAAGCAAACCTCCAGACAACCCATTTGATGCCTTCACAACCCAATCAAAATCATCTGTCCCCCACACCCTTCTGCAAATATTCTTATCCACTATTTCTAACTTAGTCTCCTGGATGGCCAGAAAATCTAATTTTTCCTTCATCACTAAGTCTCTAATTTGTCTTTTTTTCCCAACCCCTCCAAGCCCTCTAATGTTAAAGGACAACAGATTCATAAAAATTCTGACTTACCCTCTTCTTGCCTATTGCCTCCGCTTGCTCCATATTTGCTTTCTCCTCTTTATCTCTCTTCTCCATGTCTTCAATTCTTTGGGTGACCTGTTGTTCATTCTCTGCCACCACCCCTAAGTTCTTCGCGAAGTTCCATATATTCACCGGTAGCTGGTCCTTCGATAGTCTCTCCAGAATTCTGTTACAATTCCTGATGTCACTGTCTCCTATTGATTCCCCTGCTATTTTGCTGCTGTAATTGGAGCTGGTTGCCGGTGTTGCTCTCCTTTCCTTCTCCTTGATCCTCTGTCTTCCACGGGAGTTCTTTTCCTGGATTTTTTCCTCATCAGCTGCATCGATGGAGTACACTGATCTGCAGGATCGATTCTTCCTTTTTTTCCTCTTCCGTATCTTGTCTTTCCGCCTGCACATCCACTCTTTCAATCGACCTTCCTCACTTTCGAACCCTTTCCAGAATGGGTCGATTTCCTCCTCAACTGGAGCTTCCTGCTCTGTTTCGTGACTTCTAGGTTTTTCTTTTTTGTTGGGTCGGTCTGGGCTTGTAACCGACTGGGCCGGACCCAAGCTAGCAGCTTCCTCACCTTCCCTCCTAGTCACTTGCTTTTTTGGATCTTTGTCTAGCCTCCTTTTGGACTGCTCTTTCAGGCCCAATGCTACCACGTCCTGATTGCTTGTTTCACCTGGTATTGTCCCTTCCCCATGCTCCTGCGTCACTTCCAGCCGGCCTACTCTATCTGCTCCTGAGTTTAAAATTTGAATTTTGTCAAAGCTGTCTTCAACCACTTCCACTAGACTATCTTGTGATTGAGACTATTTCCCGCTTCTACCCATGCCCCTCACCACGTCATCGTCTTCTTTCTCTGCAACTATGTTGTTCTTCACACCCAGCTCTTGAGGTATTTCAAACCCATTGTCCATGCTATCCGAATCAGTGCCCAACGACCATGATTCATGATCCTCCGAATCACTATTAAATGAGGGCAAGAAGTCTTGTTTTAGAGAAAAGAACCCATTGGTGAACTCTTCCTCTTTGAACATAATATTGTGCAGAATCCCATTAACTTTAATTTGGCGTGAGACGGATATTGAATGCGTAATAGGAGTTGAGATTAAGAATCTGGCTATGTCAAATCTCTTCTTGTTGCTTGTGTTGTCATCTAGACAGATGAATTTCCCCCAAGAGCTTCCCATTTTCTCAAAGAAATCACTCCTCCACGCATTTAAAGGAACCCCTTGGCATCTGATCCATACGAACCTTTCATGAGCAACCAATTCTGGTGACCAAGGTTGTATTTCTTCGAACCATTGTCCAAGCCAATCAGCAGCCATTTCTACCAGATCCTTTAACTCTTCTTTGTCTTCGCAATCCAACAACACCATTTTGCCCCCCATTGCACGGACTCTGCAAAAGAAGTATCCCTCCATATAAAACTTCTCTTGCAAATTTCTGACCATTTCTACTGAACGAGTCGTCCCTACATAACATCCTTCAAGCCATGCACAATCTTCTTCCTTAATCTTGTATTCCATTCCAGCCCAACTTGCTCCCCTTCCTTTTTCTTTCCACACTTTTCTGCTGTCTTTGATTCCAAAAACCTCTCTGTTTTTTATCTCTGTTCTCCTCACCAAATCTGCACTGAGATGCCCCTCACTCGCCCCTTCCATTTTTCCAACCCCGTGTCCTTTTAATGCTTCCGCATAGCTCCTGCTCTGATCTATTGGCCTTGCTTCCTGTCCGATTCTCCCCTTCAATTCTACCTTCTTCTCATCGCCATATTTTGGGATATTAACCCATAGTTTCCGACCACCTACCCATATCTGATCAAGCTGTCTCTCCAACTCCCTTATGTCATGCACATTGAGAAATCTTACAAATCCAAACCTTACTCCACTCCTACTTTTTCTGCTTGGACTGTAAATATCATAGACCCTTCCAAACTTTAGGAAGGTTCTCCACATCTCTTCGTAGCTCCAATCTTCAGGAAAATTGGAGAAGAAGTATGGGGTGGCTTGTTTGTACATTCCCTGATCATAGAACCCCATATTTTGTGACCTATAGGTTCTTTGAGGCCCTATTTCCCACTGCTTCTGATTTGTTTGCTCCTGACCTCTCCGTTGGCTTCTTCCTCTGTGTGACGCATACCTCTGATTCCATGCTGTCCGTGTTGCCCGTGCTTGCCGTCCGCCTCCCACTCCTCTCTCTCTCTCTCTACCTCTCTCTCTCATCCTGTTGAACAACTACAACAGCATGCCAATTGCTTGTAAAATGCATCAAAGGTGTATGACTACCTTCCCTGCAACCAGCAAAACTGGGGACCAGAGAATTATGAGAATTTTGACCATCAAAGGTGATAGATATCAAGACATTTTGTCATTAAAAATGTCAGTCCAATCTCAGCTAAAAGATGAGTGAGCTAAGTGTTGGTCTGTCTTGGATTTCATTTATCAAGTGATGGGGATTTGACATACTTACAATTTTAATATTAGTTGTCCTGAATTTCACAGTTTTAATGTTAGTTATCTTGATTTTCACTTTTCTTTTTCAAGTGAATGCATACTTCTACAAGTTCTATGAAGGCAAGGGTTTGAAACCAGTCTGAGGGTGTCCTTTTTTCTTTTTCTTTTTCTTTTTTTCTTTTTTTTTTTAAGGTCGTAGTTTTAACGTTAATAATAGTTTTGAAGGCATAAAAATTGCAAGTGCAAAATTGAAGGAAGCGGTAATTTTTTATTTATGTTAATGAAACACGTGGTATTTTTAACAAAATATTATAAATTGTATTTAACAATATTATAATGTCTGTTATGGGATGGAGTTAAGGGTGTTAAAAGAGGGAGGTAAATGTAAAAAATTAGAGTAGAGAGAGGACAACGGTATTGTTTGGAAGAGTGAAGGAGGACAATGAATGAAAATTGAAAGTAGAGGGACTATAGTTGGCTTTAACTCATTAGTAAATAAAGTTTTTTTAATCAAAAAATTATAAATGATAAATTAATTTAAAAATTAGCATTGTATGATTTGCATAAATATAATATTTTATCCCATATTTGGTTGTTAAAAATTAATATTATAAGGTGAGTTTTATGCATGTTTTTTAAAAAAGCATTTTAAGAAGATGAATTGTATTACATTAATTCCATATATATATATTATTCATAAAATATATATAATATTTATTCACCTTTTATTTTATTTTTTAAAGATAATTATCTTTTTTATTTAAAAAATTATGATAAATTTTAATCATTCATAATAAAATGATAAATAATTTAAATTTTATATCAGTAATTTAAGTAAAAATTGTCTATAAATAAGTCATAACTCTATAAATATATATTTGTTTGATCTCAAGGATGATATTGAGAGCTGAAACCTCCACGTTGATATCACTGTTTGGATGGTTGGCACCTGTTGGGCTTAAGCAAATCAACCGGAATTGCCAGCAGATGAAACACAATTTATTTCATTAATATTGAATTTGAACATGCCATCACAAAAGTAACCTTGTCCCACAAACAATCGCTTTGTCCCACAAACAATCGCCTCTAAAGTCAAAGCAACTTTATCGGATTCTATGACAACCTTAACACTCTTCTTACACAACAATCCAACATACACAGGATTTTTTCTAATTTCAAGAACATGAAAAACATTAAGCAAAGTAAGTTTTTGCACAGAGGTAAAAGGCAAATCTATTGTCCCCTTACCAAGTACCTTGTCAGTATTGAGATTTCCCACTTCTCAGGACATCTTCATGTTCTTTAAGATCTGTCTAAGTTTTAAAAGGTGCATTATTGTTGCAAATATGAACTGTTGCCCCTGAATCCAACAACTAATCAGCAGACCTCTCGGTGGAAACCATGTTCAATTCGGTGAACATATCCCAATCTGCATTTCAGATATCATAATAACAAGCTCCATGGCCTCACTTTCAATTATGTCGGCGACGCCACCAAAAAGCATTCATTTTAGGTACAGCATTTCGGCACCTGCACTTTTTTAACATAATGTCCCTTTCTTTTCACAACGGAAACAAGACCTATTCTTTTTAAGTGCAAAAAGAATTCTTAAAAAATTCCACTTTTTCTGTACTTCTAGTTTTTGGAAAGATTTTCCTGAAATAGTTTCACTCACATAATTCACTTTTGAAATTTTAGCATCAGAAAGCAAAACTTTCCGATTGCGGAACTTCATCTCAATTTGCAAGTGGGTCTGTAAATGTGAAACAGTGGAACTTTCAGGGGAATGCAACACGTTTTTCCTGTAATCATGCCAAGGTGGAAGTTTACACAAAACAGGCCCCATTTAAAGAGCATCTGGGACTTTTTATCTTAAGGTCACCAAGCTAAGAAACCAAAATTTGTAACTCAAGAATTTGATCCATGATAGGCATGTCATCGGTAATTTTAAATTCAAAATACTTAAGAGCAAGAAATTTATCAGTACCTCTTTTTTCGTTATTGTACTGATTCTCCAATGCCTTCCAAATCTCTTTGGGTGACTTCAGATTTGAGTAGAGATCATGCACCCAATCAATAGAGTGTGTAGAATATGACATCTGCAAAATAATTCATCTTCTTCATGTTTCTTCCTATCAACCTTGATTTTTTCTAAGTTGTCCTCTTCAGTGTTATGACCCAAACTGTGTATTCCCTTAGAAAGGTCAAGATTGAACCCCGACTTAAAACAATGCTTGTTTTAAATAAAAAGAGCATTCACTAAAGAAAGATTCAGGAGGATTTTTGCAGGGTAGAAAACAAAATCCATGTGGAACCTTCTGTAGTTTATAGCCTAGGCTATTATATTAAAGTTTACAATGTTGTAAATAGCTTTAGAAAAATCATGTCAATAGCATAGGAAGCCTAAACTTTAAAAAATTGACTTAAACAAGGAAATCACAGTTTAGTTCCAAGGTCTAGATTATATGTACATATGGTCAGCAAATAAATTCTTCTTTATAAAAAAGGGTATAGTAGTTTTATAAGTAACTCAAATAGGTTTTCAAAGAACTTTGAACCAGGATACAGTTTTGGGCAAATAAAAGTTTAATTTAGAAGCTTGAGAAAGCTCGTTCACAATAGCAACCACAGAAAGCTCTGAAACTTCTAGCAATCCTAGTTATACTCCACTCCTAGGACTAATCTAAAATGCTTGGAAAAACAACCATGTGAGCTATGAAGCCCAATAAGTATAAGTTACATTTTAGAGCCATGATAGAACTCCTAACCAATTTAAGATCATTCAGTTAATCCATCATAAGCTTATAGTTATAATAGAATACAAAATAGTAGATTTAGCTGAATCAACCTGTCATCAATAATCAAAAACACATCAAGCAGGGACTTATATATGAATAAAACTATTAGCAAACAAGCACACTCAATTCATGCTTCAACATTTAATGTCCGAATGTATGTCCAATACCTTAACCTTGATGACAGAAAGTATTCTAGGTATATGTGCTTAATACAAATACAATGGCATGGGGTCAACTAATCAATATGTGGTGCACTCACATTCTGCCAGAACTTGTCATGGCATACCCAACTGCACAGTGGTCAATAACAATAACAATGGCTGCTCACTCGAGTACAATAGTACCTTGCTTTTAGCATAAGTCAATACCCCACATAGAAAACAATGCAATGCAGATTGAAAGTGATAATGTTTCAATGCTCTCAATAGGATCTTATACCTCATTGATCACAAGTATCAATAATAATCATCACTGACCATTTAAAATAATCATTTAACAACAACTCATGTCATTTTGATCGTAAGCATTCAATAACAAATAGTTCAGATAACATCTTTTAGGTATCAACGTAGGATTACAGAATAGGCAGTCTATATTCATTCACCACAACTAGTGAACCTGGTATGCATATATAATTGAGATGTCTAGAATACTTAATACAAAAATCCCCATGTCAATAGAACCAATTGTAGGCTATAAATCTGGTTATTTTAATTATATATTTTATCCCTTTATTGCTTTGGTACAATTGGACTCTCATCTTCAATTCAATTACAGCATAGCTACGATATAACCTATTAGCCTTGTACTCCGTTTTTAATAAATATTACTTTTTGCTGTTAAAAAAAAAAATAAAATTACAGCATAGCTACAATATAACCTATTAGCCTCTGCAAGTTTTTTCGCTAGTTTATTATATACTTGCTATCTTTAACAACAGTTAGCATTAAACTCCATCTATTATAACTACAAGTCAAAGATTCTCAAATATAATAAGTAATTGATTCTAATCCTTAATCTCCACTTGCATTTCATGTCAAAAACCCACCACTAATAAGCTATGTACAAACTGTCATTAGCTTAGTTCTGGAGTCATTTTAAACCATGCAATTACCATCTTACATCCAATTAAGCTACAAAAACAGTAACTTGTACTTACCACACAAAACCCATTACTATCCTAGGTGTAACTTCCTTGAATTTCCTTGAATTGCTTCACTGGTTGATCAACAGCTCCTTAACTGTTACTTTCCTCTGGGTTGGCTCATAAGCACAAACTGTTAACTTATTAATGAAAAGTTAAGGATTCTATTAGAAACTAGATTTTTTTAATCCATGCGTTGCATGGGATTATTTTTTTTATATTAATTTATAAAAAAATCATGTAATATTATATTTTTATGTTTTATAGTGATCTTTTAATTAAAAAATTTTAAATTGATTTAAGTATTAAAAATTATTAATAAAAATAAAAAAATTTTATTTTAAATTTATCTTAAATTAATTATCATTTTTTTATTTTTTAGGACAAATAAATAATTTTTTTCTATTCCATCATCATTATCCATTCAATTTAATTAGTCATCTAATTACAAAAAACTCTTTCTTTATCTTTTATTTCTTTTTTAAGGGTATTGTAGAAAAATATAAAAATTAATTCTTAAATGCTTAATTTAGAGAAAAAACTAAAAAATGATAGTTATTTTGATATATAAAGAATATATAACAAATTCATTAATAAGTGCATTTAATATTTTTTTAATAAATCAATTATCACTTACACATTTTATTTTTATTAACCAAATGTGTTTTTTTTTTTTAACTTGTAAGACTAATAATTTTAATTAATCTTTTATATGTTATTTTATCTTCTTTATTTTTATAACATGTATTAATATCACTCATATTAAGAATGTTTTAGTCTCTTTGCATTAGTTTTAGGCTTTTAGTTTTAAGTTATTTTAATTATTATTTATAATACATTTAATACATTTTAAAATATAAAACTACTATGCCATTAAAATTATATAATAAACAATTGTTAATTGTAAATTAA